CAGTATAAACACTGCCACATTGATAGTTTTATAACAGTCATTTTATAAATACGGTAACAGTATAAACACTGCCACATTGATAGTTTTATAACAGTCATTTTATAAATACGGTAACAGTATAAACACTGCCACATTGATAGTTTTATAACAGTCATTTTATAAATACGGTAACAGTAAAAATACTGCCGCATTGATAGTTTTATAACGGGCAGTTCATAAATACGGTAACAGTATAAACACTGCCACAATGGTAGTTTTATAACAGTTTGTTTGTTTGTAATTAAGCACAAAGCAACACAATGGGGTATCTATGCTCTGCCCACCACGGGTATCGAAACCCGTATTCCAGCGTTGTAAGTCCGCAGACATACCGCTGTGCCACTGGGGGGCTATAAATATGATAACATTAAAAATAATGCCACATTGGTAGTTTTATAACAGTCTTTTTATAATTACGGCAACAGTAAAAATAACTGATACATTGATAATTTTATAACGGACATTTCTGAAATTCCAGTTTTTCCAGTTGCTTTTTACTATTATGTTTAAAATTTTATAATTCTGTTTATAAACTATTTTTATATAAAAGAGGAAAAACATCACTGCTAGAACAGAAAAAAATCAAGTTGATTAGGGATTTTTATAGAAAAGATGAAAAGACCATCATGGTTAGAACAGAAAAAACTAAGTTGATTAGATATTTTCAAATTATACACATTCCTTGATTAGTAACCTGCAAAATATAATATATGATAAAATTCTGAAGAGTATTTATAAGTAAACTTTATATATGGAGGAATGCAATGATTAAAACAAAGAATAAAAGAGTTCAGAATAATGGTTGATAAAACATACATTTCCTGCCGTATTTGTTAATTTTGTAATTGATAATTTATTTAAACTTAAACGAGCTCAAACGCACACACACAGAATCAAAAGCGCTTTAATATAACGGAATTATAACATTATTTAAAAAAGAAAATAAATAAAACGGAAAACTAACGATACTTATCACAACTTTACAAACACGAAACATCAATAACTATCATAATAAGGTGAATCACAAAAAATAACATTAATATTAGAACTATGTGTGCCATTCTCGCCTGTGGATCTGCGGGTCGCCCTAAACATGCTCGTCCTTTGAGCTATGGGGGTGTTATAAAGTGACGGTCAATCCCACTATTCGTTGGTAAAAGAGTAGCACAAGAGTTGGCGGGGGGGGGGGTGATGACTAGCTGACTTCCCTCTAGTCTTACTCTGCTAAATTAGGGACGGCTAGCCCTCGTGTAGCTTTGCGCGAAATTTATAACAAACAAACAATCTTGCCTGTGATATGTATTTTAGCACAATATCTATTCCTGTTAAATTCTTTCTGCTCATTTATAATCAAAACGACAATGCCAAATTGACTCGTCTACTTTTATACTAACTCTAGCATCACAGTTGATGTCTGGAACAACTTTTGTTATCTGGAGCTGACTGTTCTGTCCACCTTACTTCATTACGCTAGTATGGTTTCGAGCTTTTTTCATTTAAACTTGAAGGATGTGTTGTAACTTGCAATCTTTTTGACTGCTTAGAAAATTGCATTACGCTCAGATGATTGGAAATAATTTCAATCTGTTGTGTTTTCTATGGTGCTGGCTGAATAATAAAAACAAAGAACGAATATTAAGTGCAAGAAACCATGCCCTGCAAACTTGATTACTGAGATAATGTATAGTATCTCATGCTAATAATAATAATAATAAAACCAATCACTACTCATTAAACTATATCAACTTTAATAATAGGAAAGGGGGAATAATTTTGATTTCTCTTATCCTCATGCAAATGTTAATATAACTTGTCAGCCGAGTTGAAATGCCGTGTAATATATCTAAGAGCAAAGAGCATAATCTAATGTAATATTCAAATTTTACAATGTGCAGAAAACTAGAAATGATATTATCTTCTTCAGATGTGTTATTTCTGTTTCTCTTTACATGTTCTTGAGTAGGAAAATTTTCTCCAAATCTGTAACTGGAAAAGGACAACAGAAAAAAATAAAAATAGCTTACGCTCAGTATAGTTGTTAGGGCAAACATCACTTGTATGAACATCCTTTCTTATGACTGACGAAGCAAGACTGCCTTTGTTAGAAAGTAGGAGGAGAGGGGAAGCTAAGTTAATCTAACAGTATTGTTAAATATAGTGTATGTACACCAACTGCAAAAACAATGGTGGGCACGTGTTCCTTCTGCCCTATGCCCTTCTGCCCAATCATAATTTTATGCATGAATGATTAAACATAGTAATGTTTTCTATTTACATTTGTTTTAAACTTTGTTAACTTCTCAGTTCGTAAGTTAGTCTTTCGTCCGAGAGTATACAGAACAGGTCAATTTTTGATCAGCTTCTTTTTTAGGCGTAATTTCGCTCAGGCCTAGTTTTGAAATTATAATATTAAGCGATATTTTGTGCCATAGAACATTATTAACATACCTTAAAAACACAGTAATTTTCAAACAAGACTTTCTTTAATTTGCCTGGTCTACGAAGTAGCTGTTCTGACAGGGCGTAATGTCTATACACATATTTTCTTGCGTCTGATTTCTTTTTGTTTTCTAATTACATCATTATATTGATTTTCATTTTTAATATCTAATTGCCAGCCCTTTAATTATTTAACTCATTCAATGAAAAACTTTGTCTGCAGTCCATCCAATGAAAGTTAGGTTAAATAATAATTACAAGTTTTCTGATATACAGCTGTTGCTAACTTCCTTCATTCCAATCTATCTATTCCAAATTAGGGACGACAAACGCAGACACCCCATGGATTGCTTTGCGCGAGTATCCGAACAAAAAAAGAAACACTAAAAAAACTGTTGTTTTCTCCGTATCAGTACAAAGATTATCAATGGAAATTTTAATCATTAATATACTCTTTCCTATTCATAATGCTTAAATCTAATGACTTTATGATGATACGAATCGGAAATATATATCGACTTTTACCAGAAATGGAGAAAACTGCTTATAAACAACTGTTGTAATGTTTTATATTTGATAAACATTTTTCGTACTAATTATTTTATCAATTTCAAAGCGCTAAGATTTAATAATTTGACAAAGTAGAGTCGAGTATTTTATAATGTAGTTCTGGAAATGTTAAAAAAAACATAATTTCGAATCATCACGCTACCATTGATCTTTTACGAACACAGCATGTTATTTGTATTTTGACACGACTGCACTTAAAGACAGATTGTCTGTTCTTAGACTAGCAAATAAATTACTTTGAATTGAAAATCTAAAAATTATTGAACTTTGAAGAAACCATTTTCTAAAACAGGAAAAAGACATTCTATATAAAAACAAGTGAAAAATAATGTCTATAACTATTAATTTCTAAATGACTTTAATTTGCAAAATTATTGCACTTTAAATTTTATATGTACAGTTTTCATTATTTTAATAAAAGTGTATGGTTAACATGTGATTATTAAAACTGTTTGTTTCGTTGACTTTCACACATAGGTACTTGAGGGTTATCTGAGATAGCCGTCCATAATTTAGAACTGATAGAGTAGAGGGAATGCACCTAGTCAACCCTATCCACTAACAATTCTTGGGCTACTCTTTTATCAGTAAAAAGTAGGATTGACCGCCACATTATAACGAACCCTAACCACCAGGCTATGCCAGACCCAACTGTTCAACTGAATGTCATTTTATGAGTGTAATGGTTGATATTGTGTTAAGCGGACATACATAATATCACTTTAATACACTTCAGAGCACGTACTTCTAATATAAAATGCTTGTATTTCCGCATTCTTCAAACTTTGTGGATTATAAATCAGAAACTAAAATGCTAATTATATTGTTTTAAAACAATTTTAGGAATGTATTTTCATGTTATGGCTAATTCCCTATTGCAGAAAAAAAAAGAGCTGTTGGATGTCTAAAGATATAATTCGAACCTTTTAGGTGACGGGGATTCGAACTCGCGACTATCAGATTGGCGAGTCAAGCGTACTAACCACCAGGTCTTGCCAGGCCCTGTCAGCGGTAAGTTTGCAGCCTCAAGATGCTCAAAATGGACTTTCAATACTCATGGTGGTCACAGCACAGATAGCCCATTGTGTGGCTTTGCGCTTAACAACAACCAACCAAAATTCTTCTAACGTAAAGGACTCGACTCATTTTATAGCTATCATTAAATAAATAAATTTACTGTTAAACCTGTCCTCCCAGGTTCAGGTTCATTAGGATTCAGTTAGAGAAATTCTAGAATATGATTGTATTTACCATTTATATTTCATTTTAACATGTTTGATCACATAGATGAAGAAACGAAAATAATTAACAAGGTCATACAAACACGACGTTTCAGTTTTCGTAACGAAGATATATTTTTGGCTATTTTATTTTTCCATTAATATTTCTTAAAACCACTCGCACTCGGCTAAATGTCTAGTATATTTAATAAGTGACTTGAATTTTACTGATTTACGATGACCCACTGTAAGTAAAGAATACATACTTTGAAATAAAAATATAGTAAATAGCAACGTGGGTTATCTTATAACAAGTTACTTCGCTTATTGACTAGCAAGTAAAATCTGCAAGAACACAGCCAATAATTAAATACTATTGAATATAATCTTATTAATTAACATGTAAACTGTGTTTAAAACAAGACAGTCATGTTTTCCTTAAAAAAAAGTAATGAATGGAAACATAAACATAAAATAAAATGGCCTCTCTTCTCCATGTGCAATAAATGCGTGCAAGCAGACTATTTCTAGTTCAATTGAGGCTCAGCGTATATCAGCTGGTTGACTCTTAAGCGTCTTATAAATTGTATTATAATCATTAAGAATCACCTTTAAGTGTTAAGGCCATAAAACAAAATATGTGAGCTCGCACGACTTTCTCTCAACCTAATTGAATAATACTAATAAAAAAAGGACATGCTTAAAGCTGAAAATATTATACATATTACTTAAACACATCGGTTTACACTGTTACTGGCCTGTCATGTTCTTCTTTTGTAGGTAACCTATACAGCCACGCATAGAGTAACGTTTGTTTTGAATAGTATTATTATATCCAGTGTTTTATCAGATATATATGTATTTTCTAACCAGGAAGTTTAGATTTAATTTAAAATATTTCTTGCATAATTCAATTACTAAGAGGAAATATAATATTAGATAACATTATTCCCTTCATTTCACGTGACATTTTAGTGTTTCTAAGTCTCAATAAGTATTTCATAGCCCACATTATATTAATTTGAATGTTTGAATTACAGGTTAAAGAATACTTATTACCTAAAACACAAGGCTTCTGATTAGCTTGATTTTTTTGAGTGATGTTAAAATCTCATTGAGTTTACAACTGAATTTCATTAATTATAAATGCGAATTGTGACCCGTTAAATGATATGAATACATATTTTACGAGTAAAATAACTTCATGTCAAAACTAATTTTAGGGGAGCTTTAATGTATGACGTTTTTTTATTTAATTAAACATTGTTTCAGAAATTGTCTCTTAAAATGATCTCAAAAACAGAATAGTTTCGGTTTGATGAAATTTGAACTGTTATGATAAGAGATTTTCCAATCATCATCATCTTACCACCTCAGTCTTCTTCTGATGTTTGGTAGGGGGCACTGCTGTAGCTCACCACACTGCCAGCGTTGACAAAGTCTTCTCATACATTACACCAAAGCTCATATACTAACGTGCCAGTTCCGAGGACTGGTGTACGAAGGAAAATGCTCATGCGACTTTCCGCCAGTGCTCACCTGAGTTAGATGTTGGAAAGACGTTTACAAATAAAATTACCGCAGTCGTCGAAAAGAATTCAGAGAAAAACTCTTGACTACATTCAGACGATGATATGCTTCTGGAAATTTTGATGGTCTCAGTAATTACTTTCAGGAAGTAAAACGATGAATAGGCACTTAATTGGAACTATTGCATTCTTACTGATAATCCTGAGTAATAGGGTGCTCGGACGGACCTCTTACGGTAAGTCCAGTTACAAATTGAATTATAAATGTATCACAATAATTTGTCTTATACTTTGTCTATCTCGAGTTACTAGTGACTGAATAAAACATTGATTTTACCTAATAAAACGATTTGTTATTGTCTCTAAGCAAACTTACAAATTATTAAGAAAGTATATATATATATATATATATATAATATGAAATAATTCTAAACTGAAAATATGGTGATCACTTTACACTGATTAATATTGATGTTATAGTCCATAACAGTAATATATTTTTATTCGATTATTTAAGAACTAAAACTGTCACGGGATTTCAATGTGTGACTATTAATTCCACTATTTTAACTTGAATCTCTAACACAAGCTGCGTGTCTTTCTCATAACACAGTTCCAATAAATAATTGCAAATTCCAAGTATTAACTGAAAGTATAACACACACTGCAGGTCTTCCTGACAGAGAATCTCTAATAAGTGTTGGTTTATTCCAAGTATTAACTGAAAGTATAACACACACTGCAGGTCTTCCTGACAGGGAATCTCTAATAAGTGTTGGTTTATTCCAAGTATTAACTGAAAGTATAACACACACTGCAGGTCTTCCTGATAGAGAATCTCTAATAAGTGTTGGTTTATTCCAAGTATTAACTGAAAGTATAACACACACTGCAGGTCTTCCTGACAGAGAATCTCTAATAAGTGTTTGTTTATTCCAAGTGTTATTTGAAAGTCTACAGGATCTCTAATAAGTGTTTGTTCATTCCAAGTATTATTTGAAAGTCTAACACAAACTGTGTGACTTACTCACAGAGGATCTATAATAAGTGTTTGTTTATTCCAAGTATTATTTGAAAGTCTAACACAAACTGTGTCTTACTCACAGAGGATCTCTAATAAGTGTTTGTTTATTCCAAGTATTATTTGAAAGTCTAACACAAACTGTGTGACTTACTCACAGAGGATCTATAATAAGTGTTTGTTTATTCCAAGTATTATTTGAAAGTCTAACACAAACTGTGTGACTTACTCACAGAGGATCTCTGACGAGTGTTTGTTAACTGAAACTGTCACATAAACTCTGTATCTTTTATACACACAAATTTTAATGAGTGCACATGATTGTTAATTTTCTATGTTCAAATGTTATGTGCAGTTTGCTAAAAGTAAAGTTTTTTTTCATCCAGAATATTACCAAGAAAAACGACAATTAACGCCTGAATTTTCTGAAAGGTTAATTAGAATACCAGTAATTGTGCTGGAAAACATTCACTATCAACAAAAATATAAATCACAACACAATAAATCTCGCATATTTGATACTTTCGGATACTAATTTTGTCTTCTTTAGGAGATAACTGAAACTAAATTTACCCCTGAAGTAGGAAAGTCTACCCTCGAAAGCGCTTTTGTCATCACGTGTTATGAAACTTCACGTGCTCCGATTTATTTAATTACCGTACACAATTTATAATTTTCTTTACACAATGAGAAGTCTATATAAAGTAGTGGTTTTGATAAATAGTTGCTTGACTTTAATTAATTTCACTTTCAATAAGATCCAAAATGCTTCTTTTATATACTTTATTCTAAGCGTCAAGAGAAGTTAAAATCTTGGCTGTAAAGCAAACTTAGGTATCCTAATAACTCCCATCGGCTGTCGTTGTTTATTTTATCTTTATCGTAATTTAAAATAAAATGTATAAAGCACCGAATGATATCACGCTTAATTAGTGCATAATTAAAGATAACATCAATACTAACCGTATAAAAGCTAATTAACAGAATGATACATTAGTTCTATGATTATATCTACCTTCTAAATGGAACCATGTTATGAAATTTCTTTCATTGTGACTTAACGACTTTTGTGATCCTACACGCACTTTTCAAGGATCATAAGCATATATAAATAACAATCTCTAAATACATACATACAGCTGAGTAGTTCTGCATATGCTTGTTTATTGCACGGGTACAGCTTCTGCAGTCAGTTCCATTAAAATCAGCTCAGCTTCGACATCAAGAAACGGAACAACATATTAGGTTAATGGAACATTTTAAATGTAACGGGACTTTCCTTGCTCTTATTGTACGTTTTATAGCCTGTCATTACGTAGAACATTAATATTCCTGCTCTAGCGTATGATGAATTGTATGACGTCATATTTTTCAAGCAAACTCTTATACATTTTAATATTGTCCGCAGTAGAGAGATGGACAATATAGGGCCAGTGAAAACTTCTAACTTTGTAACCAAAGCAACTGTTTTTCCCTCACTCTATATCGATTCCAAATTTATTTTGTTTATGCTACATAAAATAACTCTTTTATAATCATTTCTTATATCCTTTTTTGGAGAAATGTATGAAACAATTTAAAAAGATTTCACGTTAAGTTCCCGCATATCGTTACACACAGCATAGTTACGTAATATTGAAACAAGCTGTTTATTTCATTATTAGTGTGATTATACACAGAGGTGTGATACCGTTTTCTTCTCCACGTTTTCCTGTTTAGTCAAATACGTTTTCTTCCATTGCTTCTGTGCTTAAACATCATTTTGTTTCCTGGAATTGCAATTTTCAGCCTGAATGGTACACTATACACATACGAGCTAATGACGAGAGGGAGGACAGAGAACCAGAAGCATCCGCCGTCATAAGAGCTTTATCCAGCTTTTTGAACCAAGTAATAGCATTGACCGCCACTTTTATAACGCAATAACAGCTGAAATACAGAACGCTTTCAGTGGCATGCTGTTTAGAACCCCGAACTTCTCGATACGCAGCCTGAAAACCTAACCATAATATGTTGGATATGAAGTAATTTCGAAATAAAGAACACAAAGTTAAGTCATTATTTAATTCAATAGTAAATGATTGATTCGAATGCAAATAAAACTATTGAAAATGACTGTTAGTATAATTAATAGCATATTGTTCCAAATCTGCAAAACATTACCGCTCGGAAAGTTATATGAACTAAAAATGACGAACTTAAAATGCCATCTTTGTGATGACGACACATTCAGTAAAGTGTCATCATCACGTGATAACAAATGTAGAACTTAAAAAAATGTGTTGACCACGTTTGTAAGGGAGTATGGATTATAACCAACAATGTTAGGGTGGTATTTAGAGCAACAAAGGAATTTCTACTGAAGACAACTTTAAACTTTTATTGGTCTTTTCAGGTCCATTGTTTAACATGTCAGCCCTGCTGGTAATATGAATCAGTTAATACGTTTCAAAAACATTCAGTGTCCTAAGGATAACAAACCTTATTTCTAACAAAAACTGTTAATAAAAATTCTAATTCTCATCCATTTTACTTTATAAGTCAGTGCGTAGTTTCCTATGTCTCAATATAAAAAGTAAAGATTAAATAATAAATCTCATGTATTTGTTTTAGAAACAAAATCCCATTTTTTAAATTAGTTAACACCCTTTTAAAACATGATTTAGAACATTTGTGAATTTTGTGGTAAAAATTACGTAAACTGCAGATTGGTTTCACACTTATCTTAATTTGTCGCCCTCCTCCCCCATTGACACAGCGGCAACTCTTCGGACCCATAACACTAAAAACAGGGTTTCGATACCCGTGATGGGCACACCTCAGAAAGCCTATTGTGTAGCTTTGATCCTTAAATACAAACAAACTTAATTTGTCCATTCCAAATTCAAAAGCAGGAACGTGTAATATAGCATTTCAGATTTATGGCCCCAAAATCGTTAATTAAACAGTAGGCAGGAACGTATATCTAATTAGCTATACTCCTTACCAGGTTTACCTTTTAACTTCAAATTATGTATGTAGCCTGTTTTGATCGGAAGTTAATATTAATTCTATTTTGTCTCTCATAATTCATTGCCTCTGATTTTGAATCCGAAATAAACAAATTAGGTGAAATTTGGAAAAATAAATATCTGCAGTTTTCATATATATTTTTACAAAAGAGCAAAAGTACCCGACTTTGCTCAGGTTATTAGGTTGATTTATTCTAGATCACCATGTCAGTGTGTGTGTGTGTATTCTAAACCCATTTTAGCATAAAATTATAACCTTTTATGGGATGTGGCTTGTTTATAAAGGTAATCTTCCCTCTGACTTGTCCTCCGATTTTAAACTTAAATAATAATAAAAAACACTTTAGTAAACGGACCTCTCAATTAAAAACAACAAATATTTATTTTCAATTTTGTAGTTTATACATTTCATTTTATACTTTCAGCACGTAGCCTCTCAACAAAAATATTAGGTTATTGTCGGAATTTAAATATACTTATATTCTTCTTTTTCACCAAATGTCAAAATAAAAGGCTTTTACTTATATTTCTTAATACTGTTACGTCTCCGTTCGTTT